AGTGGAACGTGGGAAACTGCAGCTGCTCAACATAACACCGGCGCGTGTGCCATGTCAGCAGATTAATGCACCGGCGACTGCGCAGCCGGCGGCCGGGGACTTAATATTAAGAATTTCATTTTCATGTAAATTTAGATTGTCTAAGACCTCCAACGAGGAACGATAATTCTCGCTTCGACGGAATAATTAATAAACATTATAATAACCGTTGATTCTACTTTACTGGAGCCCAACGGAATTTTATCCAACGCGAGTGATTGTTTAAAAAAAAAATTCGTAAGCCAACGCTTCGGTTCGTTTTAACAAAAATAAAATAAACAACAAGTGAGGTGAAATTAATAATTAAACCTACATTTTAAAGGAGCTAAAGGGCAATCCCTCGCTCCCGGCACCAACATCTACAAAAGGAAAAATAGGCTGAAGGGCAATCCCTCGCCTCAAAAAATAAAAACAACTAGCTGAAGGGCAATCCGTCGCTCCCGGCATCAACGCCTACGAAAGGAAAAACAGGCTGAAGGGCAATCCCTCGCCTCAAAAAGTAAAAACAACAAGCTGAAGAGCAACCCCTCGCTTCTCACATCGCCACCCACAAAGGAATTAATAGTTAGTTGAAGAAAACTAATAATTAGATCGAATAAAACACGGTACAAGGCGCAGAAAACCATGTAAGTGAGCTCTCTTTGTAAAATTTTATTCAAGCATTTTGGTAATCGCGACCCAATAAAAATAAAATAGTACTGAGTGGTGCAGCTGAGATATTTAAAATCAAAATCAAATTCATTAAAAACATAAAAAATACAAATAAAATAAGAAGTTCCTAATGGGCGATAGCCCTAACAGTTCCAATAGTGACCTCAAGTCCTTTAAGCGGTCCGATAGCTTAGTTTCACTGTGTGGGGACCTGCAAGACCCAGGGGATAGCAAGCAAGAAAAATCCGATAGCGACGATAGTTTACGTTTGTGTCTGAGGGGCCTCCATTTGACTGGAAGCAACGAACGTTCCCCTGACATCATGGATCCGGCTACTTCCGCAGTAGCTATAGAGGCTGCACTGCAAAATCAGGCCTCGCGGTTCGAGACCAGGTTACAGCAATTACAAGCCGAGATTGCTCAGTTGACTCAGGTACACCTGCCCCGAAAGTTGAAGCGTATAAGGACAGAGCAATAAATCCCGCTGTCCAGTGTGATCAGTCATTGGACATGGTTAAGTCCGTCCCCGAGTTCGACGGCAAACAGGAAAATTATGTGGCTTGGCGCCAGGCAGCGCTGGCGGCCTATAAAACTTTCGAGCCCTATGAGGGCAGCGCTATATATTACATGTTACATATTCTGAACAAAAAAAGATATTTTCATGAAACAAACTACATTTGAAAGAAAAAACTTTCAAAATCTAATCCGCTTAAGAACATTGTGCTGCAATGTCTAAAAGCTTCACAATAATGGGTTAAAGTTGAACTCTATTGCTGGTGCATATTTTCCCATGTAAAATATTATTCATTTTTGTATCGATAAAGTACTTTTTATAGTGTTTTTTACTATAAAATATTATTTTGTATTTAATTTTCAACTTAACCTAAATTATAAAAATATAAATAATGTTTCTGTAAAATAACCCTTTACTTCCTGTTTAGTGGGAGGAATATCTAATAAACTTGTAATTTCTGAAGAATAACATATCTCACATATCTAATGGATAAAATATATGGATCTGAAGAGGCTGCCAACGTGTTGAAAAGGTCTTGGTTTTGCTTAAGTCGTGATGTCTTGCACGTATTCATTTTCCTGTATTTTTTGTAATCTTTGTTTCTCATTTCCTGGGCTTCCTCTGACATCTCTCCAATTGGCAGGCTCTGACGTTCAAATAAAATTTGACCATGTGTCAGTATTTTAGGAGGCGTGCGAGTTAGCTTCCTTTTAGGATATTTTTCCAGTAACAGCTCTGCAGTTTTCGAGGCATATTCACCAAACTTTCGGGTATTTATTTTTTCTTTGCAGTTAAAAATATTCAAAATGACACCCAATCTTTTGATATGTATAGGGCCTTCCACCACTTTAAACACAAGCACGGCATGGCCTACCGCACTGAGCAGGAGCACGAGCACAGGAAGAACATCTTCCGCCAGAACCTGCGCTACATTCACTCTAAGAACCGGGCTAAGCTGACCTACACGCTGGCCGTCAATCATTTGGCCGACAAGACCGAGGAGGAGCTGAAGGCCAGACGCGGCTACAAATCGTCAGGCGGTTACAACACAGGCAAGCCCTTCCCCTACGATGTGTCTAAGCACCAGGATGAGATTCCCGCCCAGTACGATTGGCGTCTTTTCGGTGCTGTTACCCCAGTCAAAGACCAATCGGTGTGCGGATCTTGCTGGTCCTTTGGTACCATTGGCCACCTGGAGGGCGCCTTCTTCCTCAAGAACGGCGGCGATTTGGTCCGTCTCTCCCAGCAGGCATTGATCGATTGCTCCTGGCCGTTTGGCAACAACGGCTGCGATGGCGGCGAGGACTTCCGCGTCTATCAGTGGATGATGCAGGTGGGCGGCGTCCCCACCGAAGAGGAGTACGGACCGTACCTTGGCCAGGACGGCTACTGCCGCATCAACAACGTCACCCTCGTGGCGCCCATCAAGGGCTTTGTAAATGTCACCTCCAACGATCCGAATGCGTTTAAGCTGGCCCTCCTGAAGCACGGACCCCTCTCGGTGGCCATTGATGCCTCACCAAAAACTTTCAGCTTCTATTCGCACGGCGTCTACTACGAGCCTGAGTGCAAGAACGATGTGGATGGCCTGGACCATGCCGTTCTGGCCGTGGGCTTTGGCACCATCAAGGGCGAGGACTACTGGCTGGTAAAGAACTCCTGGTCCACCTATTGGGGCAACGATGGCTACATCCTTATGTCAGCCCGCAAGAACAACTGCGGCGTAATGACCATGCCCACCTATGTGGAAATGTAGAATGGTCCTCGGTCCAATTATGTTTTTTATTTTTCTTTACACTTTTTATTTTCTCGCCCCGCGGGCTCTAAATATGAAATAAAGTTTCTGAGCTGATACTATATGCTCTTTTGTATATGTCAATGTCCACCCCAGTTATTTTTGCAGTTATATCGTTTTTTCCATCGTTTGTGTTTCCAAATCCTTGCTTGGGGCAGTCCACATTTAATGATAGCTTGTCTAAGAATTGTTCTTGAATCATTTTTTCCTAGTCTTTTGTATTTCCTTAGCTGGCGAGCTGTTGTCAGCTCAAGGGAGATTGTCTCCCTCTCGCGGAATGGTATATGCAAGTTTTAAAATGAACTCCTTACATGTAATTCTTGCATGCAAAACCTGGTCAAAAAGACAGGTAAAGGTACTAGCCTGCATATTCATTCATAACCAACAACATTATTAAGGTAGCGCGAAATGGAAAATTATTCTAATATTGAGTGTACCTGAGCATAAGAATTCATTAGTACCTACATTTTGAGCAGTTTTTCTTTGACTTGGACTGCATTTAGCAACAAATTTTTTTTGCATATGTTCTTTGAACTATTTATTACCCAAGTCTAAAAGCCCTTTCTGCGCTTCGGAGCCGTTTAGCTTCTATACCGATTTACCTGCCACAACCTCGAACGAAAAAGGTCAAAATATGATTTTGTATGGGATTTAACAGCTGTGATGGCTGTTTTTGAGTGCTCATATCTTCTTAACTAAAAGTCTGAATACTTTGAAAGTTTGATTTTTAAAAGCTTTGGAAAATTCTCTAGATACGTGTATTGACTTTATCCAAAGCGAAAAAAAACTACGACTTTTCCCACGTCTTTTCGTCTAAATCACCACTGTGCGCCGTTGGCGAGAAGTTTTTCTATCTGGAGCGGCCTGTGTCGGTTTTTGATGTTTTGTCAAGTTGTTGTTAACTTGCATAGACATGTTTTCGGCTGAATATTCGGCGCCTCTACACAAGTACACACACATATGTGTGTACTAGAGGTATGCATGAACAAAAAACCGACATTCGAATTAACCATGCGCAAAATGAATTGAATGAACTCGAATGCCACGCCGATAGAGTTCGAGTAAATGAGTGCGGCGACGCATAACACATCAATCAGTGCTCTCAACTTTTGAGAAAAAAAAAATATGTTTTTGTGGTAAAATACTGAAATAGCTTGTTTTTTGGTAAAAGCTTTGCACACCGTTTCAGAACGTAAATCCAAGCAAATCCGATGCATTTTTGAAATGTGTTTGCACCATGATTCGACCTTATTGGTTTTCTAAGGAGCAAATGGAGAAAATCTGACCTTAAGTTCGTTTTCGGCGCCCCAAGTAGATAGGGATATGATACTCTGGTCAGACGGGCACGACACTTTTTTGTGGGGCTGTGCAATTTACAATATGTAAATAAAAATATATATATTCAATTAAAATACTTTTCTTATACACACTTCGCACTTTGAAAATCCTAATAGAAAATTATTCCAATGTGAAGTCATGCATGTAATATCCGCTCATCATATTTATATATTCTAGATTAAACAAAACTAATACCTAAGGCATATATAAAATACCAGATCTTCAGATATTATGGGGCAAGCATCTTCAAAGTGTCATACTGCTCAAACAATTTCAAAGTAAAAGGAAGAAAACGAAATGTAAACGAAATAGTCCGGAAATGCAAGCAATTCCAAAACTTTTACACCCATAGGACGTTTTCGCGTCGCCAAAGAGTGTGTATTTTTTCTAAGATTCTGGGACCAAATCAGCTGCTCAGCCGAACTGAACAGACGAAGAACAGCTTTTTGGTCCCTTGTGTATAGTCTTTGATAGTATAATACCAACTACTACCGAAAATAATTCGTCAAATCGCCGGAACCGGCGAAATCAAGAAAGGATCCATCCATATTTATGTTATCCATTTTTACATTTATTATTAAAAAAAATTGCACGTGGACAAGGTCGCGGCGGGTTCATCTGCTCTATGTATATAATCGAGTCAAAGCGGAGTTCCATAAGAAATAGTTTTATGGATTATCTGAATATATTTAAAGGCCTTTACTTACAAACCAAAATACAATATATATTTGTTCGTGTCGATTTACAAATGTCTTAAGTGCTCCCACAAGCGTTTTGTCTTTAAAATTAATAAATTCCGTGTTATCTTTGGAGTTACAAAAAATGTTTGTATAATACCCACAACAAACAGGAACACAATGGGCGAGTGAAAAACTTTATATTATTTGTTACCAATGATTCTATTATTGATTTTTTCATTTTTACATTTATTGCAGATGTGCTAATGTCCTTAAACACAATGCAAGAAGGGATCGAAGCTGTCACAGTTATACATACATACTTACATATGTATATCATGTAATTTATAGTTTGGATTGTATCAGTTTCATTCTGCGGAAATACATTTAGTATATCATTTCTTTTATCGTTTTTCTATATATGTACAATCAAATTAAAAGATATTTTCAACATTTCTTTTGGCCATTCTTAATGTCACATTATAAAAATAATATAAATGCACTAAAACTAAATTTTCGAACGTAAATATTTAGTTTAAACTAGTTTTCAGTAATATGTAAATGAGTAAAGTTCGTATTAAGTGCTGTTTAACAAAGCGACCAGATTTATGTTGGACCCACCAAGTTTCGTAATATGAGGGTCAGTGTGTGGGTTTAAAGAAATTGGAAGTCCTCACTTTCTTATGCCTTTTAATTTAATTAACTCTTGGACAAAACAGCTTATTATGTGCTTTCAATTAATATAAAATAATAATAAAAAAACACAATACTTTGTGTGTCACTCTTCTTTTTGATTACTTTACAAACGCGTTGCGATTTATTTTATTTTTAAATGATTAGGCTGAAATAACTCTAGGTAAAAGAAAGGAGCTGGTCTTGTGAATGTTCAAAGAGGGGTTAAAGTTCCCGAAACTATTATAACATCGCCTTTTTCCTAAGTTTTGTGTTGGTATGTTGGAGATATTCCCGTGAGACCGCCTGGTACTGTACTAAGACCAACCCCCGCGGCACTTACCACTATGCCCATAGTGTGATCTGATTCTTTTTTTGTATTCACGGTGGCGTGGCTCAATGAATCGACCGAAATCATATGTTGGACAGGAATGACTATTGGTGTTGATGGTGCGGGGCTCTTTCCGACCACTATACCTGTAGACAGCTGCGACAGTGATGTATGTTGTAAGCTTTGCAGTGGTGGTTGTGAATCCGGTTGACCGACACTGGTGGCTAAAGATGACGTTTGTAATCGGTGATGTGACGACGGAGGGCCCAAAGCCCCTGCTGAAGGAGGTGGAATGGGACTCGGCTCCTTACCTCGCAAATGAGCAGCAGATTGCGCAGCATATATATTCATTGCTTTTTGACGTTCCTCTGCTTCATGCCGAAATGCTGCTTCCATTATGGGATTATAGCGCAGAATAGGATACGGATCGCGGTACGGATCTATGCCCCAGCCTGGAGGACCCGGAGTAGCAAAATGACTAATTGGACCACCGACACTTAAGTTGGATGGCATCATAGTTCGAGAAAGATGCGATGATGGCGGTGGTAACCCATGTCGCCCAGCCACTATGAAGTTAGCATGATGGTGATGCACGGCTGCAGCAGCTGCATTTGCCTGTACTGCTGCCAACGAGTTCGGATGGTAGCGTGGATCTCCAACAACGGCGGCAGCTGCCGATGCACGCATTAGCATAATATCCTGTTCTTCTTTTGTGCGCGTATGTTCTTCTTTGATACGTATCTCCGAGGTGAATTCTCCCACACTTCGATGTGGAGAGCGATCTCGTGTAGGGGCTGGCACGGCAGCTGCAGCTTGTGCCGCTGCAACTTGCTTATTACTCTCATTAATTCGCTGCTGCTGCAACATTCGCTCCCGTTCCATTTCTCGGCGCTCCATTTCCCTGCGCTCCCGCTCTTTTCTATCACGCTCGCGTTCTCGTTCTCTCTCTCTTTCTTGTTGCTCCCGTTTTAGTTTGTCTTCTTTTTCTTTGCGTTCTCGCTCTTCGCGCTCGCGACGCTGTCGGTCACGCTCTCGCTGTTCACGTTCTCGTGACTCCCGCTCGCGTTCCTCTGCTTCACGTCGTGCATTGTCCAGAGCTGAATCAGACTTTATAGGCCAACTAGGCGCAGAAGTGGGTGATGAATGATATGCAACACTGCGTTGTATAGCATTTGATCTAAAAAAAAAAAAATATATATATATAAATATTATTTCTTTTTTATACATACTAGAAAAAAAATATTTTTTTGATGCATATGAATTGTTGGGTCATGAAGCCAAATAAAATAATATTTTCCATCTTCCGTAGCATTTAGTGTATTCGGTCTCTTAGTCGAACGTAGCCGTTTCTTAGATCAATCTATCTATCGCTCATACACTTAACAGAATAAGCTGCCCGCGCCTTGTTATCTTCTGTTATGTTATCGCCAATTGGGCAGTCTATAATTAAAAAGTTAATTATATCTTCAGGGCTGGACCGTAGGATATGGTCATTTTTTGTTCGTTAACGATTTACAAACTTGCTGAAGCGCAATATTTTCATTTTCAATATGATGAGAAGTTATGATATCGATGAGGGAATCGTACAGAAGGATGGAGCTATCTCCTTGGCACTCTCATACTTGTAATCCTCCAGGTCTAAGAGCCAGAATAGGCGGCCAATATATTGGCTAGAAGTAAATTTTTCTGGAGAGGAGCTACTACTAAAACGCTTTTAATGGTTATTTTAGACGAAAGCCATTTAAAATGGCTCTTCATAGTTTTTCATATTTCTTCCGCATTTCGGCAAGCCTCTTTTGGACTTATTTATTAATAATTCAATAAATGTTAGTAAATATACACTTTCTACATAAAATTAACATAGTTAAATTTAGGAACAAGATGTCACAGACAGGTTGTATCTACCATAGACAGGCAAGTTGGTTTTTTTCTTTAATTTTGGAAAGATCATATTAATTATTTACATTCACACTTTCTTTAAATTAACGAGCTCACAAAATCAAGAAAAAGGTTCCGTCTATTCTTACACCAACTCGAAGTTAATCGAACATCTGAATTTGATGGGCTGCCAATATTTCATTTCTGTAATGTATTGAAATGAAAAATTCATTTTTTCTTAGTCAAGGTATGAACTATAACGAGGGGGATCGTTGTGAGTTGCTGCGGAGACCGCAACTCTACATTTATACCCGATACTTAGTCAGTATGGCTCTCCTCCGGCAGATGCTGCTAATATATACGTTTTATAATGAGATCTAACAGGAGTGTTGATACCAAATTTGGTTGCTCTAGCCATAATAGTCTCTGAGATGTGTGGATGCCCCAGATTTTCGTCCTTTGCGGGGTTGGAAGGGGGTGTGGCGAAATTTTGAAATTAACTTGTCAAGGTCCGATATCATAGGAGTGTGGATACCAAATTTGGTTGCTCTAGCTCTTATAGTCTCTGAGATCCTTGAACTCACATTTTGCAATAGGCAAAGCTGACCATGAAACCTGTGTGTTAGAAAAAGACAGAGCGAGAGAGAATGAAATTGTTTTCTTGATTCTGACTATATTAATTATTCGATCTGGCTCAGGTTTTCCACTTTAGAAGATATAGTCAACCTCTACGATTCTGCGTTTTCTATTTTCTCGTATCTTTGAAATTGCGGATGCCACAGATTTTCGCTCTTTGTGGGGCGGAAGTGGGCGGGGCGAAGTTTAGAAATATTCCTGTAACAGTGACATAACACAAAAGTCCGGATATAAAATGTCGTTGCTCTAGCTATTATAGTCTTTGAGCACTAGGCGCTGATAGGGATGGGCAGACGGACAGACAGACAGGGCTCAGTCGACTCGGCTATTAATGCTGATCAAGAATATATATATATACTTTATTGAGTCGGAAACTATTCTTTCTGGACGTTACACACATCTATTTCCACCAAAAATCGAATATACCCCTATACTCATTTTGAGTATCGGGTATAAAAATATAAAAAATTAATTAGTGTATTTTTTTTTAACGCAACGCTTTAAAGTCAGCTCTTTAATAAGCTGAAAGCGATAGTAAAAACTGTTTGTTTACCATGAAAGCTTACCAAATTGCATCTAAGTACAAAAACTTAAATCCCAAAAAACCTATAAAAAAAAACACCGACTGCTAAGCACGATTGACAGAGCCAAACACCCCCCCAATAGTCTTCCACACCATCAAATCCAACCTCCACCAACACACCTTCCTATACACAGACGGGTCCAAAGCAGCAGGCATTACCAGCTATAGCATCTGCAGTGAGACATCAACCATAAAATCCGGACTACTTCCACAGTACTCCTCAGTCCTTTCCAGCGAAATTATAGCTATCCACGAAGCCATTTTATTAAGCCGCAACAAACGTGGAAGATACGCTATCTGCACATATCCACTCTCTTCTATTTCCGCAATTACCAATCCCAACAACTCCTCGTACTACCCCACCACAATCCGTAACATCGTCACTAAACTATTCCCAAAAATAACAAATATCTGGATACCTAGCCACATTGACATAAAAGGGAATGAAATTGCTGGCACCGCAGCCAAAACTACCTCCAGACAACCCCTCATATATACCACCAATCATAATTCTCACACATTCCCGACATCTCACTATTCCTTAAGAAAATCCTCCTATCGAAACGAACAGACCTCCTCACTAAGACTTCCCCCTGGTACTAACAAGTTATCAATCTATCTTCCACTCATCCTCCCCCCAAAAACATAAACAACCTTAACAGAAGACACCAAGTCATCCTAAACAGACTGAGACTAGGGCACACAAGATTCACCAATGCCCACTACATGGATAAAACATCCTCCAACGCATGACCACTGTGCCACAACCCAACCATAGACATAAGACACATACTATACACATGCCCCGCCCTCTATCGACAAAGATCCTCAATATTCCATAACACCGACCCCATGCAATACATCTCCAACCCTAACAACAATAACGCAAAAATAATCCTCAACTACCTTGTTCAATCCAAAATCATTCACTACATAAACTCAAAAACTATCATCCTTGTACATATACATATACACAACTAGTATACTAGATAATAATTCCATTACAACATATAATATCGTATAAGACCAATCCTGTACATATGTATATAAATTCATACATACTCAAGTGTATAATTATACCATAGCGAGCTTAAGGCCTCAGTAGCTATAGCCCCATACCTTGTTAATACCTAGTTTTAACTGTTTATTAGCTTTATATAATAATAATAATAATAATAAATCAAAGTAATGGAAAAGAAAGGCCAGGGTATGTAGATTGATTATATTAAAAAAATTTGTGCTCATGTTTGTTAATATGTTTTTATGTTTACTAATTTGTGTCGTCCAGAGGTAGAGAATACTGAACCAATGTGCCCGTCTGTTATGGTCAATAACTAATTTTTTGCGCAATTGTGCGAAAAAGTAATTATGTATTATGGTAGTGCAAACTGTGTATAAAATAATCCTAAAGCTAGTTTTTACGCCATTTTGCGCCGATCTGCGCATTTTAATTTATTTTTAGGTGAAGTGGAGTTCACTTATGAAAAGCTGCTTAGTATTTACATTGAGAATATTCGAAGCGCCGCAGCTTTTTCGAGTTAGATTTTCGAAGAACTGAAGGCATACAAAATAAGCTCGGAGAAAAATGATGAAATAAATAATATAGTAAGGAGCTTTTATCTACACATTCAAAAGTATTTGGCAAAATGCGGGAAAAGCATGAATGCATGTCTAAATTTAATAAAAAGCATAACAAATGGCTTTTGTCGAAGATGGTTATCAAAGTTGAAAGAACGTCGTCATCAAATTCTATGACTCTAACATCAAGATCATTTGGACGCCCACCAATTGAATATATAAACGCTGGATCCCGTTTGAAGAGAAAATTAGCATCAGAGTTAGCTGGCGATCAAGATCACAACATACACTCCCCGACACTTGAATACGAGACACTAAAATGTACACTTTAGGCACCAATATTTTCGGCACAAGCCAAAGAAAACGGTGAATTTGAATTTTCCTCAAATCTAGATTCAATTTAGCATAACTTAAAAAAAATAATAGCAATATTCATCAAAGTAGATTGAGGAAAAAAAATTTAATTGACATAACTCAAATTTCCGTTCTCAAAAAATGCGACACTTGAAAACGACATTCACATTGAAAAATTTGTTATCTTGGATGTGGTCGCGTCCGGACATCGAATAAATTCTCAAAAATCAATTAGAGTGTCCTTATTACGAGAAAAAAATTTGGGTTGTGGTAAGTCCTTTTCAAAGGACGAAAAATCGACAATAAAAGCCTCGAAGGAAGTAGGTCCATTAATAATGAAAATTAGTCATAAAATTGGTAAAACTATGTGTGCTCTGAGTGATTTCATAAAGAACGGGTAAAATTATGGCAAAAACATAAAAAACCGAACCAAAGTTGCTACTTCCCAGACCGCTATGAGATCTCATCTGCTTGCCGCATCTAAAAAACACGACTAAAACTCGATTTAAAAATCTAAAACTGTACTTTAAGCTAGTGCTAAAATAATAAATCATGTTTTTTCGAAGACTCCACACCATAAGGGACTGTAATTAATAAAAAAACCTCAGTCAACGAACGAAAACTTAGAGACTATATATATATAGCATTTTCAAAGGAACAAAAATTTAAATTTGAAGGGTCATAAGGGTTTCTTTTTTATATTTATAAGGACTCAAGGAAGTAAAAGAAGTGAGGAGTAAAGAAGAATTACGATTGGATCGTTTTCACTGCAGTGTGAGCGCTATTATTCTGTGGTGAGCAAGATCCTAAAACGTCGTGGACCAGTTGATTTTCCATTAAGTCGAGTTTATCAAGTGTGCAACAAAGTTGAGGTGTTTTTATGTTATGTCAATTAAATTTTTTTCCTCAATCTACTTTGATGAATATTGCTATTATTCCTTTTTTTTAAGTTATGCTAAATTGAATCGAGATTTGAGGAAAATTCAAATTCACCGTTTTCTTTGGCTTGTGACGGAAATATTGGTGCCTAAAGAGTACATTGTGTGTAAAGTGTATCGTATTCAAGTGTCGGGGAGTGTATCTCTTCTTGTGCATGCTTTTGCTTTTTCGGCCGAAAAATCCAACGAAAAAGACACCGCTCAATTGTT